CCCCATCAGCTGAAGCACTATTATCAGTGATTGATACACGGCAGCACTACAGCTGCATGTACAGGCAGATGGTCTGTGGGCTGCAGTGCACATCAATTCACTGAGTTTTATTGCTGATGTGTAACACTTGTTGGATTGAGTCAGTCTAGCCAATTGTCTTAAACAAAACAATTGTTTTTGTTTAATCAGTTGTATTGGAGACTTCCTTAAAAGGGACATAACTAAAAGGGAATCTGTGTTCTATAACACTACTATATTAAAAGAAAGGCATTTCTGATTAGTAACATTTTCATTGCATTGCTAAGCCCATCAAATCTGTAACTTAAGAGTAGCGCAAATATATTTAGAGTGTTAAAAAAACCCACAAAACCAAAACACCCCAACCCTTCTGTGTTGGTGCAGTAGAACCCATTAGAATGGTATGGTTATCTGCATGGTTATTGCTGGAGCAAGAGTCTACTGGTCAGAGATTTGTTGGCACCCTTGTAGCACACATGCAGTAGTCTGTGTCTGTGGTTTTGCTGGGGAAAGGGGGAAATGCTGCCTGTAGTGCTGCCAGTTCTTGCTTCCTTTCTGTGTTCTGAAACAAGTGTTAAGGAAACTTTGTGATCATTCATTATTTCAACTGCATCATTCTGATAGAAAACCAGTTATCAATGATCCTCATTATGATGATATTTAAAAATTAAGTCTTAAGTGACTAAACAAAAGTTAGAAAGAAACAGAGAATTAAAAAAAAACCCAACCCTTATGTTGCAGTGGTTATGTCTTATTCACAGTACTTAAATACCTGTAACTGGCAGAAATACAACTTATTTTCCAAAGCTCACTCTGGAAAGAGAGTAGTGCTTGCCTGTTCCATCATTCTCTTTATACTTCTGTTCTTATTCAAATTCCAAGCATGTCAAACAACGTAAGGAACTTTAAAAAAAATGTGTTTGGATCCATGGCTTCTGCCACAACCATTGGCTTTTACTTTTTGAAGCTTCTAACATGGGAAAAAAATGAGGAAGACTGGCAATATTTTTCTAGGAGGAGCTTATTATTAGTCTTCTGAGAATTAGCATATGGCTTTTCTTCATGAGTATACAAGTGCTTTCCATGATATTGGAGCAATTTATGTGCACTCAAATTCTCAACAATTTATGTATAATTTCAAGTGACCAGTTTTGAGGAATGGAAAGGAACCTGACTCTTATGTGGTTATGTTTTTACCCCTGTTTTCAGGTGTCTGTTTCAGAGAGCTGTAACTGACTGGTAACACTGTGGTGGCTTTGAAAATTTTTAACGAGTCACAGAATTCATCTTAAACAGAAAGTCCAGAAAGCTTTACCTGAGATCCAGTACTGGGGGAAGGATGGTACTGGACAATTGGTTTAAGTTTTTAGAAAGACTATTCATGCCCCTGGATAGGAAATGCCAATTAATACTTTTAATTACTTAAAAGTTTTCTCTTTTCTGAACGTATTCAGCCGTCTTCATTAAGGTATGCATAGATCCAGGAACAAGTTGTGCACCCTACCATATCAATTAATGAAACTTATTCCTAAAAGTAATTGAGGTTCAACTCCTGAATGTACTTGCCAAATGTTTTTGTAAGGCAACTGATTCATAGAAAGCTTGGGCCTTGAGCTGAAGCACTGAAACTATGTAAACATTTTGTGCTATCCAGATGTCTTTAATAGCTTGATAAAAATTGATTATTCTTCACATGAATTTCACCTTAGTAGGGTTTTTTCTTAAACATATAACATATGTGGAATAGCCAGCAAATACAAATTTTATCAATCAGATACAGTTTGACATTTTTAACACTTTTTAAACGTTACAAATGCCTGTTTACCATATGGTGTAAGTGGGTGTGCAGGAAACTGCACTCTCATCAAGTCTGATATACTACTTTTCCATGATATGAGCATGAACATTTCCTTTTAGTAGCTCTTGCTGAAGGCAAGCCTTTGAAGAATGGGTGTGTAATTTTGGACTGTAACATTTACATTGCGTACTTCTGTAGGTGGTTATTTTAAAATCAATTAACCCTTTAGCTTTTCTTATTTTTATTTGACTTTATTAATAAAAGTTTGTTCTAGATTAATGCTGCAACATGTGAAAGAGGTAACAGAAAAGCAAAGTTTGTATTTTCTTTCCACTGGTCCACTAGCCAGTTCTTATTATTGTGGCCCCAAGTATCCTATTTCCTGTTTCTATTCTCCATCTGTAGAAAATGCTGCAGACTTTCAAGGGAATTCTACAATCTTTGAACTGAAATCCTGTGTGTCATTAAATTGAATTAGTCATCATAGTTTCTTGAGAGATAAGATCATTGTAATTTTCTGTGCCTTGAAGATACTGATCCCAAATGCTGTTCTGGCTTGTTTGCATACAATTAAGGTTTAATTCAGTTAAGCAGTCCCTCACTACTATCTTTTGCAGTACCTCAAATATACATTGGACCAGTGTTACTTAGAGCATGTAACTCACCACTCCACACAAACCAGCAGCTTCTGCTTGCTCTTTTCCCAGACAAAAGCTTCTGCTGCAGCAGCCACCTGAAACTAGAAGAGTACTCGATGATAACTGCTTTTCAAATGACAAGTTGAAGCATCATTTAAAGGTCAAAAGGGCACAGTTTTCCAAGAGAAAAGTGTTTGTACATAGATTCATAAATACTTAACATGTTGCCCCATCAAGATGCAACTTTTAACTAATTGCTACAAACTTGCATGTGCCTCTCTGAAGTGACTTGTTGATTTAGTCTCTTGCTTATCAGATAATCAGTAGCTTAATTTGTTTTAAAACAAAGTTTAGGTAAAAAAAAAAATTATCCATGTCCAAAACTTTTTTTAACTTCCATTTCTCAGTATTTAATGCCTGGCAACTTCTCTGAAAATAGCAATACCTTTTTCTTTCTTTCTTGGTATAAGCTATAGTAGCTACTCTTTAAGCAGTGTGTCTTAAACAGGGTCTGACATTTACGACATGCTTGTAATTCATGAAACTATATACTGTCACCAAGGGCAGTTCCAAAAAACAAAAAGCATGTGAGCTTCATGATAATAAATATTTTGGTTGTAGAGTAATCCTTAAAACTGCACAGGCTTTCTGCTGTTTTTGAAAAAATAATGTCTGTGTTAATATCCTCTTAAGCCCATGGCAGGACTAAGAAAATTCAAGTAAAAATGCATGTAAATCTACATCATGGCCAGGAGAATGGTTTGCAGCGCTACAGCTATCTCGCACCAGCACTCAGGAAGTCATGACTGTTCTGCCACCAGTCTTTTTCATATACAACCTGCATAATTCTGAGAAGGGCGAATTGAAGACAAGTAGAAATGCAAGTCCCGGTCTTCCTCCCACCATCTGCAGCCTAACACCCTGCAGTGGCTCCTCTGACCCTCTGTCAGCACGTCTGTGTTCCCCGCTGATAAAGCGTCCCCGTGCCAACGCAGCCTCCTGCCGGCCTGCCCCGGCCAGGGCCGCCCTGATTCACCAGCCCAGGGAGCGCCCGCGGCCTCCCACGGGAAAGAAACCACTCGGGCCGGCTGGAATGGAGTGCGGCACAGAGCCCTGTGGCCTCAGGCCAACACCACAAACTCCACTCTGAATACTTCTCATATATATATATATATATAAAATGTATATCAGACTTTATGCATAAGTCATTTCTTTCCACACCTTGCCCTTAATTTAAGCATCTCTGAAAGTCCTTCTCACCAAGTGTCAGAGTTTGAGAGCTGAACTATTTAGCTAAATGTACATACTGAAATGCAATCCACAAAGAAATGGGAAGTAGTTTTAACTCATTAAAAGTTATAAATCTTATGAGTTAACATTTTAACTCATTAAAGTTATATTTTTTCAATCAATTTTTTTTGTAAAATTTTTTATTAAGCGATTCTTATTTACTTATTCTTATTTACTAGAAAGGACTTATAAGGTCCTTTCTTTGTGTTTTATCACTCTCTGCTTAGTTTAAAAGAATCTTCTCTTATATGCAGCTTTTTTCAAGTGGAGGTGGTCTTATGCCAGTGACTGCAGGGGAGATTGATCTCAGTTGTTACTCACTTCAAAACTTCCTGAGCTGGGAAGTTTTTAGGAAGCTGGAGACTCTTGAATTTCTTATTAAAAGTACATCATTGCACAGATGTGTTCTAAAATAACTATTTTGTGTATGGTGTCAATGGCACTGTTTATCTACAGTATTTGAGACAAAGTAACTGCTGCTGGGATAGGAGTTCTTGTTAAGTGATCTTGTCAGTAATCTTTGGTGTTGAAGTTTCTTAATATTCAGCATGAGCTTTAATACTTGATTTTGTTCATTAAAGATTTTAAAATGTTTTTTTTTTTTTTTTTGGGCTTAGGAAGTAGATTCAGTTATTACTGCCTTTGCAATATTCTGCAATAGAATTAGGAGAAAAAGGAAGGACTTCAGGTTAAAAATATATTCAGATAAATTAAAGGGCACATGGGAACAAACAGCTCAGTATTTTAGGTATTTCAGCTCAACTGCATACAGATGTTATATATGTAGGTGATCTGCATAGTGGTAGCTCCTTCCCAACTGAGGAATTTTATATCTCTTTTATATTTTAGTTATATGAAGAAGTATATAACTTTCACTGTGTGACTGTTCAAGAGCTTTTTGGTAAAGAAATAAATAATGACTGGGATCCTTCCTTTTATATGTCTAATTGTACATTTGTTTATTCTGACATCTGTCTACATTATAAAACATCTATGTACAACTGATTAGAGGCATACAAACTACTCTCATTTTTTCTAATTAGATTTTTTTTATTTACTGCATACTAATAAATAATATCTGGTACAGCTCATATTGTATATCATACATACAGTCCAATATATAGTGTAATTAATCAAATGTGACATTATAAACTGCTTTTCTTCAATACAGTTATTTGAACTCACAAGCTTTGCTTTCTAACATCTGCCACTCAAAAGTTGCTTTACTGTATGAAATATGTTTGGGTTTTTTCCAGATTGTCACAAACATCTCCACTTTTCAAGACTACTCAGACAAGCCCAATGTACACACAGTTCCTGACCACATTACTGAAAGAACTGCATTTCAAAAATGAAGATCTGGAAAGTTTAACAAGAATATTTAGAATGGACTGACAAGTTGAATGGTCAGTCAACTTCAAGCTACTTTGTGTGTCTTAAAACCAAGCTGGTTAACCACAGGTTTAATTTTCAGCATTTTGTAAGTATGTACAGTAACTACAGATTGTATCAGCTGGAGCAGAAAATGTGTGAAGCACATTTTAAAGTAAAGAAATATGTATGGTATGGAAATGAGTGTCATCATTTTGTCACTTACAGTAAATGCCAGCTGCTTACTTGTCACACTTATCTTTTGATAATGTATGATTGGTTTACTGGAATTTTGAGGAATTTTTACTAACAGTTTATTAAAAAAATAAAATTCTGTGTGGCTGCAATGGCTAAGACTCATCAGGTGTTTTTTAATTATTACAATGAAATTGTTGTGTTCTGTTTTTGTGATATAAAATTGAGTTAAGAGCCACGGGTTTTTTTGCATAATGTTGAGATTACGTTTTTCATTCCAAGTAGGCCAAAAAATTTAAGAGCAAATACCTTATGTTGATCATACTGAACTGATTTAATGAATATAGCATTATAGTATCATTACTGATCTCACTCCTTTGTTCCCCACAGAATAACATTATCATCTTAGCATCTCCTGCTACCTGAAATAGTTGCACAGAGAACAAAAGAACACCTTCAGTTATTTGAGCTTTTTAAAATGAAAAATGAAAATTAGTATGAATTGTAGTACTTGCATTTCTGCTTTTTCATTTCCTTCCTATGGGTAAGAATTTTGCAGTCTTGTGAAGAAGCTGACTAACCGCAGTTGTTCAAGGTATGAAGACAAGTTAAAATATGGATCATTTGAAAAATATTTAAAAGCAGTAGAAAAGAATTTGGATTGGTTTGGTCTTTCTTGGTTTGGAAACTTTCAGTCAAAGTTTGTCTACAGGGATCAGGGAAAGAGGGAAAAAAGCATGTGAGCCTCGGACGGTAAAAGCAGTGCTGCTGACATTTTTCCAGTTGCCCTCGTGCTTGGAGCACGAATCTTTAAGAATGATGACTACAGTACACAAATATGTCTGATTCATAGCCTGTTTGTCTTGCAATTTCTAAGAAAAGGTCTTTGAACTTGTATAAAAGTTATTTTTAAACAGACTCTAGTTGTTACTAATTTGGACTTTTTAAATATATTTTAATAACTAAAAATATTTTGCTTTCAGTAGTCATTTCATTTCAGAGAGTTGTGTTATTTAGGCTGAGTATGTTTGGAATAGCTTCTTTCACTAACTGATTATAAATTGCACTTTAAAACTAGTCCACTAGTAATTCTTAATGATTCCATAATAGGTTTTATTGCATAGTTCTCAGATCATAGGAGACTGTATTTTGAGAGACTTGAGAAGAAAGTTGTAACTGACAGTGCTTAGTCTGCAGCAAATGCCAGCTCTAGGTAAGGCTGAGGCAAGCCTTGCCAGGGCTGCTACACATTTGCTCCATTTAAAAAGCCAAAGTTTATTCCTTTGGTTTGCTTCTGTAATTGGACACCAGAAAGGAACTCTACGCTTAAGTAGTTTACTGCTGTGTAGTTTCTTCATGATAATCAGAGTAAATATGTGTAGATTACCCCCGACACACAGAAGCTCATGCAGCTTTGCCATGGAAGGTTCACTGAGCAGTAAACTTTATTTAGGCAATGCTTGACTTTTCCAAACTTACATTGTAATGGAAAGTTACGTTCAGTGTAAGTTGTAAAAGCAACAGTTTAGAATTAGGATAACCTTGAAAGCAGAGTTTCAGCTATACATTTTTTTAAGTATGCAGTAAGGGGGAAAATGCCTAATCTCATTACGATTAGGGTGTGTCTGACACAAAATTTATAAGAATTACTGGATAAATGTTACATTGGTTTTGTACCATAATGGAAAAAATTTACTTGAAGCATATGGAGAGAAGGGTCAAGACCTCACCAAAAGATAAATTTCTATAGAAGACTTGAGTATGGTACTCATAGGTATGATACTCTGAGCAGAACTTAAACCTTTAATTTATATCTATTCACTTCTGATTTTGGAAGTTGACTAAATTTCTGTTTTTAGCTAGTAGATTCTGAGCAAGCCATTATCCTGTTCCGTGCATGTTTACCTTGGGGCACAAAGATTACCCCATAACAGTTCTGCCATACAGAGTACACCTAGAAGGCATTGCAAGTGTACATCATACCAGGAATGTGACTGTGTTTCATCAGGTTTGATGGCTCTCATTTGGAAAGTTTTTACACTTCCTGTCAGTTTAGTGGTGTGATTTCTTTTGTAGTTATTTTTAGGCTTGGTCTTCAGCACCTACTGTGTAGGAAATGTATAATCTTGTAATAAGAATGAATAGGTTACAGGCTGAAAGACCTCTCTGTCAGGGTTCACTGTAACTGCTTTTACAGTCTGCCTACTGTCAGCAGCTCAAAAAAGTAAGCTTTCAGGATTTTTGCATCTCTTCTTACACTGCTGTGTAGTAAGCTCCCTGATTCTTTTCCTTACCCTACAAGAACAAAATAACATTTCTCCATCCATGAGGAAGAACATTCTGTAGTATGCTGGGATATTCTTCACTTGATCATTGGAGATGATTTCATCTCCATTAGATATAACACACATGTAAATAAATGCAGAAAGTATACGTATATACCCAAGACTTTTGAATAGCAGAGAGGCTATAGACTCATCCCAAAAGGATCTTTCAATACTGTCAGCCTTAACTGTGTACAAAAAATCACAACTCAAATACCAAAAATTCAGTTCATTTATGTAGTTTTCTTATGAGCATGCTTTGTAACAGCCTAACTGCTTAGAAGTGGTCAAATCTAGATATCATTTTTTGTCTTAAAGCAAATTTCTGTCACAACTATCTGCCCTTCAGAAGATGTCACTCTTTCTTAACACTGCTGGTTTTTGGTGTTGTTCTGCCCCTTCTCATTTTGCTTATGTTGGCAGACAGTTTGTTTCCTTGTGGCCTTGTTTCTGTGCTTACTGTTTTTCCTTCTGTGTAAGTTAAACAGATGAAAGCAGTTGACATTTGGGTCAGTGGTGGTTTCAGCCTTATCTCAGATACACTAAATTGTAGTGACTGACTTCTGAGCTGCAGATGTGGAGAGACATCATGGATCTGGGGTTTAGGGTAAATGGGACAGAAGCCTCTATTTCTGAATGGCTCTGTCAAAGGGGCATGAACTTGGCAAAGCCATTAGCACCTTAGATGATAAGGATAATGAAGTCTCAGAAGTCCACTGCCATAACCATGTAAAGCATCCAGCACTGTCTGGTCCATGGCCAGCAGTTGGAGTAGGATGTGTTTCTTAATAGCAGGGAGGGCGAGAAGGAAACCAGACTTAAATGGTGATTTTTTTCCCCCCCTGACATATATAATTGATTTAGTAAAGAATAGAAGAACAGCTTAGTTTAAAGCTTGAAGCAAAGCTTGCTTCATGCTGTTGCAGCCGCTGTGCCTCAAAGGAAGAATGTGTGATACATACCTGCATGTCACAGAATGGATTTCTTACCAAGTTTTCCTTAGCTGTAATGAAATAATCTCAGGAAGAGAACAAGCACATACACAGAGTCACATTTTCTCAACATTATTCAAAGCAGTCTTTATGCTGGCCAAAGAGGCTGATGGAAAGACTTTTTGTGTCTATTCTCGCACCAAAGTTCAGTTCACAGTCTGGTAAATGCTCTCAGTGTAAGCACTGCTCTCTGTAATACTGAATTTCCTAGCACAGAGACCTTCACTGCTGCCATTTGATTGTTTCTGCCCATAGACCATGCTTAGTGATGTTTCTTGGATTTTGGAGAGAAAAAGAGGAATCAGAGTGGTTCATGTGATGTTCACCATTTCAGGAAAGCTGAAAAGTCATAAAGTTACCCATACACGTTCAGGTTTTTGAAGAGATTACCTTGAATCTGTAAAGTACCAAATCAAGCTAGATACTTGCAAAATCCTACATTAAAACAAGCAGAAGAGAGCTTGATGTATTTAATTGAAAACTATCACAACAAAAAAGGTCCTCAGCATAACTGACAGGGCTGTGCTGCTGTCCAAACCCAGGGCTGGAAATTTAGATCCACCCTGTCGTTCAAAGGGAGATGCAGGGAGCAACAAGGTGCTGGTACTGGGGCTTCACAGGCTGTGTCCACACAACACATACAAGATTCACCTGTATTTTCACTCTTCAGTCTCAGTGAGTAGCTTAAAAGTGAGACATCTGTTGTGGTTTTAGGGGGGAAATAACGGTTTTGTGAATCTTCATGTTCCATTCCCTACCCTTCTTCCCCTAGTTTGAGAGAACCTGGTCTCAACAAAGTGCAAGAGGGGATGAGGAGCTCAGCTGGACATGTCTCTTTTAACTGCTGAGAAAAAAGGACTAGCACATCAGAGAGAAGGAAAAGGAAGAGAGAAGGGGAAAGCAATACTCATACCATCTAAATTTAGGCATCCAAACTTAGGTACCTGCCTGTCTTCATTTGCTTCAGAGAGAATTGATGCTCTTAAATTTAGGGTCTCCAAATCTTACCTTAGTGCATTTATGAAATGGATTGTGGTAATGCCTCTGCTCCTGTTCCCTCATGGGGGAAAGAAAGCAGAAAATTCAACTGAGAATGCTGACACAGTAGACTGGCTCTCCCTGGAGTAATTTGTAGTTGAGTGTGGCACAAAACTGAATGGGGACCTGCCCCTGCACAGTGGGAAGTTTCTAAGCAAGCTGATCCTATTATTCACTTATTTTGATGGCTACTACTTCACACAATTTTTTTTTTAACCTATAAGAGTTAACACCAAAAGAATTCAAGTGAGTGGCAGTCTTTAAGGAAAGCAAAATAATGCCCCTATGTTGAAATTAGGTCACACTCTAGTTCAAGAGTTTGCCTCTAAGTTTTCCATACTTATTGTTAATTTGTGCAATTGCATGTGAACGCACAGTACTGTGGGTGGGATTTAGCTTGATCTCGCTGGGACAGCAGGTAATGCTGAACTGTCATTTCCAGTGAGCATTAAATATTGAAAACACAGACTCAGCCTCTCCTTTTGGCAAGTCTTAAGTTTCCATTGGAAGCAGATGGTATACAAGGTAGGGCTAGGCATCTCACTATAAAGACCTCCTGTTTCTCAACTGTGTATCTCTACCACCTGACAGCCAGTCCTCCTCTGATTAGTGTCAAAGGAAGTGGGTGTGCCTTCCATTAGCAAAGGCGGAAAGTAATATTGGTGGAGACTTTTCCTCTTGTGAGCTTTCTTTTTGTGACTCTTCATCTTAGAAACACTTCTCTGCACAGAGTGGACAGTACTTTGGGAGGTGGGCTGCCTGAAAGATGCTGCAGAACGTGAGCGGTGGCATTTGTGG